TTCCAAGACCCAACCGGACAAAAAGACGTGGCGCAGGCACGAAACATACTACCAATAGAAATACATTGCTTTTAAAATCGTTCTGTGTGTGACACGAAAAAAAGGGGAAAATCGTGTTGGTGAACACGAATCAATAGATTAAATGTTGTGATGTCTCATCTCTTTGATTTGCAAAGAGATGAGATTTCTTAAGATAAGATTGATGGTTTTAGTCAATGATGAATGACGAAAGACAAACAACACATATCTCTTAGTGGATAAATCAAAAATACAAACATTCAAGTCCAGGAGGAAAAGCTGGCATGACTGCTAACCACCAACACTGTCTGTCATTTTGCCTGCGAGTCAATATGAAGTAGCTTGCAGAGACCAATTTCCTTTCATGTTCATGTTCAAGGTCAGCATCATCTATCTATGCCGACGTATGCCAGAAGATCCATCATAACTCGTGAAAATATTCAACAAATTTCACATACGAGAATGTATGTGACCATGTCTCGCTGGTTTCTCTGTAACATCCGATCTGATTGCTTTTACTTTGGTTGTTCCTATCATAAATCCCCATCTGCTGTCATAAAGGGATTTGTCAGAATTTCATATAATCAAATACTCTTTTGTCAAAAAACTGATATCTTTTATTATTTTTCATATATATTTTGTAGGCCACAGTAAATGAAAGATCTTTAGAGCTCTTTCCAGCGTCCACAGAGTGTCACTAAGAATGTATTGCCCAAACGGGACCAAGCACACAAGGAGCAATGAGGCATAAACTTGAATGTGTCTGTAAATATGATACTTCACATCCGCCACAGGGGTCTTTTTACTTACTTATTTTCCTCGTGTCCTCAGTGATGTGTGAGGAGAGGCCTCGAAGAAACAAGTGATCATTTGTGGGAGATATAGATTAATTCCCCAACACACAATGGATGAGAAGTGAGGCAATGTGTGGACGGAGGCTTGCATGACATGATGGTTTTTCGCTCCGCTGGATGAAGCCCTAATTCCCATCTTTGCACAGAAGAATTTCTACAGCTTCGCACATCATTGCATTTTACAGTGGTGGGGTCTCACAACAGTAGGCCTGTTGCCCCAAAAGCAAGTCTCCTAATGGATTTGTGCATCATGGTTTAGCGCTGCTTGTGTTCTCATGCATATGATGCGTCTCTACATGTCTGATGGGCAATGGGTCACAAAACTACCAGGAGCTTTTAGGTATTGTGGTTCCAAGTAGCCAATGAAAACAGGAAATGGGGATGATGGGGTTTATTTATGTCAGATTTCTTGACTTTTATATTTAAAGAGAGTGGTATCCAACACAGGGGAATACAGATGAAATTGGAATTGGAAAATCATAATCTGAAGTAGTTGCCGTCTAATTGTTAAATACATGCAAAGGATAAATGAATGAATTGTGCTATATTTGTCTCTGAGTGCAGTTGAAGTAAAAGTAGCTAAAAAGGGAAATATTCAATTTGGAAAATAAAGTACAGTACTTGGGGAATTGTACGTGGCAAATTTTCAACACTAAAAACACAAATGGAAAATACTTGAACATTAATTACTACTGATAGCAATCCTCCAACACTAAGCAGCAGTTGCAAAAACAGTAAACGAGCCATGAATAGCATTGAACTATTTAAAAAATAAAATGTATTCTTACTTTGAATTGTAATGGAAACTCCAGTTATAGTTTACACTTTACACCTAGACACTGTTGCCTGGTCAAAACAACAGGTGTGCAGTGTGCGCTGCCTGGTGCAAAAAGCATAGCTAGGGGGAGTCCAGACAGAGGGAGGCATGGGAAACACTTCCAGAAGTTCAGAGGTCAAGTGCTAAGAGGAAGGACAATTAAAGGTGGGGTAGGTAAGTTTGAGAAACCGGCTCGAGATACACTTTTTGTTATATTCCATGGAATGCTCTTAACATCCCGATAGCAATGAATATCTTAAAGGGGACCTATCATGCAAAATGCACTTTTGTACGTCTTTTATACATGAATATGTGTCCCCGGTGTTCCAGGGAACTCACCAAGTGTCAGAAAACACAACCCTCTCTATTTTCCTCCATACCCAAATCTCTAAAAAAAGGGGCTGCAACGGATCTGATAAAAACTGATCCAGATTTGAACACTGTCCTGACGTCAGGACAGTGGCGCTAGGGCTATTGGGCCAACTCCACCAATCAGGAGGAGACAGCCACGGCCATTGCCGTTCGAAAGCGCTGGAGACGCTGTAGTACATATGCCAGGCCTGTAGATGGTGCTGTTCTCACAGAATCTGCCCTTGCAAAAACAGAGCTAAAAAATGTCAAATTGAGCAAAATGAGGCATGGCTAAAATGCATGATCTGTTTGGTATTTTGAAAAAAAAAAAGTATAAATATGCCTTATATAGGTATGGTCCTATACTATATTATTCAAATATAGCATGATAGGTCCACTTTAAGTGCTTTGACAAAAAATCCATAAAAAAATGTCATCTGTGGAAGCCGTAGTACTGTAAAAAGCACGACCAATCATTTTAGCCGGCCCGGCTAAAATAACTGGATGGCCTACCTGCCTGTCAGCCTTCCATCTGTGCACAAACTTATCTCGTGCCCTCATTGGTCATGTGCGCGTTCGTGTGTGTTGGAGGAGGGGCTCTATAAGGAAGTGGCAGATTTTCTCCGGTTGTGTATTTTCAAATTCTAGCGATCTCGAGCCGGTTTCTCAAACTTACCTACCCTACCTTTAAGTATTGAACATGCAACAGAAGACCCCTTGACCAGATCTAAACGCTATTATTCCATTGGGAACACAACTTTTTTAAGCTTTAATTTTCTATGCGTTTTTTTTAATCCTCCTTATCCCATCCCATCAAGTCCTTTATCACAACATATTCTGTACGACTAGTCAACACACTGTTTCACATGCATTGGCCTTTACACAAAAAAAGGTGCTTGATATGAAACAATATCTCATTTTAAAACACAGTCAAAGCAACGTCCCAGAATGTTCATTGTGTGTTGATTATGCCCCAGTTGATAAAATCGGCAATCTTTTATACATGAAAACCACTGCCTCGTGTCCTAAAGATTTTGATCTGGCTGGCACCAATTTAGGATAGCTTTAGGCATTATCATTTGTCCACATCATGTCTTTATATGTTGCTGATGAACAAAAATACATGTATTTGGTTTTTAGTGTTGCAAGTCATCAGCTCCAGTGCTTCCTGTCGCTGAAGTGCATCATCTAACAAGACAAAAAGGGCATACCACTACACCTTTTTTTTTTTTAATTGCTCTTTGTGGTTCATTCTGCAACAGGATAAAGAATAATATGATGCACTATGACACATGCAATCATGGGCTTTTTGTTGGTTAACTATATGAGGGTAAAATTGCCAAAGAAAGCGTAATGATTATTTTGAACACACATCACTGGATTGTTCTAAGTGGTTCTGGCGGATCCCTTTTGAGTATTTTCAAATGAAATGTGTTTTGTGGAACCTGCTGAGCATGGGACCGGTGAGACTAGAGCCAACTGGAGCAGAAAGTGCCACTCCTCGACACTCGGGAAGCAAGAATTCAACCAGAAGTACAGACAGCACACGGGACTAAAAGTACAGTCGGCACAAAATTGACTAAATGGCTCTCTGTTACATCGCAATTAAACAAGAAATGGTCTACAGTGTTGCATTATTCAGGAATGTAGGGTGCTAAAGCACATGACATGACACCAGACTCCCATTAATGACCCTTGAATGATGAACTTACAGGGTTACATCCTTTGCTTCTATTTTTAAAGCCTGGGAATGGAAACCATTAACAGTGATTTCAAGATATGAATGAACACTTGTTCTCAGAATAAATAAACATTTTTAATTAATGTAAGGGAAAATATGTTATTTTGAATTTAAAATAAGTGCAATGCAAACCGAGTGTAGCAAACTGAGACATGCAGATTTTAAATGTTGATAAAAGTTCAGCAGGTTCTGTCTAAGCTGGTAATTTTATTAAATAATTTGTATTTGATCGGATGCAAAAATCAACAACAAAGAAACCAATGTGTTGGCATTATATATCTGCCATCGGCAATTAAAAAAACCTAACTGTTGAAGGCTTATTTTTACCCCTTGAATAGTTTATTATAGAAAATAAATATGATCAATCCATAAGGGTGTAAAAAGTCCCTACCCTCAAACACTCACTTTAATAGATATTCTCAATAAACAGTCTAGACAACATACTTAACATTGTTTTCATCTTATCCTCAAGGCCAAAGAAGACACTTTATGATGAGCTTCACTTCAGTAAGGCTGCAGGTCACAGAGTCAGCTAAATGAATGTAAGCCTTATGTAGTTAAAAATAAATAGATAGATAGGTTTATATTTAATGACCTCAATCAAATTATATCACTTTCCAGGATCGTGTGGGGGTGTATTTAAGATAAAAGTGACATTAGAATTACTCAGAAGAATTTTGATTTCAATTGACAAGAACGGTATTTCTTTAACCTAACCCTAGCAAAGAAACTGTAAAAAAAACATCCAAAACCAGAAAATGCAACAACAAAAAAAGTCACATAATGAAAATTATTTCAAATGTGTATGACAAAAGTGGGGGCCCCGGAAATAAAATATTTAAGAGGGGACAAAAGGTACTATCACTTTACCCGAGTATTTCCATGTTATAATACTTTCTATCCCAAAGTAGAAATGTTTTACCTTTTTTACTTTTACTTAATTTCCTTTACCTGCAAACTCTAGGTACTTTGCATATTAGGATTTTACATGAGCTACAAAACATAAGATTATCTTAAATAAATGATCCAGTGTTATTTATACATTTAAAAACGTTAAACTATTCATGTATAATAGAACATTTCAGCACCACACCGTAACAAGCAATATTAAAATCTTGCACATGTTTGTATCATTAATGATAATCCATCAATAGCTAAATGCAGGACACCACGCTTTGAATCTCTAGAAAGTCTAGCAACGCGAGACTAACTGTCGTCAAATCTCGTCATGTGACGGTCCCGTGATCCTATGCGGAAGTATAGTTTTCATCACCGACAACAAAACGCAGACGTGAAGGAAATCGCTAATATTAACCGATAATACCTTACTGTTTTATCTTTATCTCGCCTCATATCAGCCCAGCAATGGACGGATCTGTCAGAACAGCTTCAGACGACGGGCTGCAGTCTTATAACAGAGGGTGAGAAGAAAACAAGCTGCTGCTTTAAATGAAAAGCTAATATTAGCCTAGCTAGCTTCCTAGCCTACAGTTAGCATTACTGTGCGTGCAGTGACGACTGTCCTAAAGACAGCCCGTCCCCTTGAGCTGCTTGGTGTTGAACGTGTGTCAAAGTTTGAAACTTGACTTTAACTTAATGTGGCACATTCCTGGAAGATAACATTAAACACAGCCATGGGACATCCCCGCATCAGTATGTCGCAGTCCCGTGGCTCCTGTAGTATTTCGCTGCCGTGTTTTCTGACCCATGCACTTGCCCTCCTCTGCAGGAATGAGAGCTCCCTGGTGTCAGCCCTGAAGACGCTGCTGTTCTTCACCATCATGATGGTGACTCTGCCCATTGGACTCTACTTTGCAACCAAGGCGTACCTCTTTGAGGGTAAGCTTTGCAACCCAACCTATTAATATGTGTGTATTTTTGCTTCATTTACCAAATCTATAGGCCTGCTAATTCCGGCCAGGCTCCATTGGTAGTGCAAGGCAAAGAGATGTTTTGCAGTATTCTTTTTTTCTAGCTGGAATTCAATTTAATCAGGGCTGCTGCACAATGTATTGTTTGATTGATGCAAAACATTTTCCCTGACTCAAACAATTGTTTTGATATGCAGGCTCTGCACTGTAAGATCTATCACAGTTGTTATGGATCAATTTATAAAAAAATCCAAAGCAGGCCTGACTAGTCGATGAAGTAACGATAAGTGAAACAGTAGAAAAAACCCAGAAGAAAGATTTTGTTTTAGAAAGACAAACAACGTCAATATTATGGAATTACTTTGTCCACAGAAAGGCGGTTGTTGACCGAGAACCAAATTCATGCATTTCATTTAACAATATGCCAATACTGATGATAGGCTGGTACCAACGTGTATCTCTACAACCTTTCATTGGTGATACAAAATATTTTTGTAATATACGCAAGACTGAATCAGGATTATTTTAAAGAGAGACTTGCATTATCAACTTTCATCTAATATTGGCTTTGTTCTTTTTTAGGTGGTCTTTTTTTAAACGTATTATAGGCAGCTACTTGTCATCACTGCTAACTGTTCTCCTCTTCCTCTCCCAGGGTCCATGAAGATGTCCAGCTCTGACAGCTACTTCTATGCAGCCATTGTTGCAGTGCTCGCTGTGCATGTAGTTCTGGCGTTGTTTGTTTATGTGGCCTGGAACGAAGGAACCACGCCTAAAGGGAAGGGCAAACACGATTAAAGCATGTCCTTATCGGCTCGTTGGACCGGAGGAGACGGACAGAAGTGGCATGGATCGTACCCCCCCCCCCCCCACCATGGGCTCCAGCAGTAAACACAGCACCATCTACCAACCAGACTGTTAGGGGATCTGGTTCGTGCCTAGGCTCTAACACAAGGTTAAAGCATTATATTATTCCCTGGCGGGGGGAGTGGAGTGCTGGGTGTGTTTTTTACCAGCTTCAGCAGGTCCGCTTTTTGACTTCATGTTCTCTTGAAATGTTACTTTTGTTGACAGAGGAAGGCCACTTTTTAAGAGGCTTTGTTAAAAGATAAGTGCTACAAGTCCATGCACAGTTCAGATATGGTCCTGTAGAAAAACATCTTCAGTTTTGATGCGTGTCACACACACGCACACACTATATGTGCTTGTAATGTGAATGTATGAAGAATTTGGTTCCAAAATGCTCTACGTCCATTCTTTGCGCTGCTGAATAATCTTCTGTCCTCAAATGTCCATTCTTCTGCATACATTGAATAATGACTTTAATTTAAACCCATGATGTGTGTAACTTTCATGCTGTATTTTGGTTCAAAATGTTCATAACGTTTTGTCCTTAAATGAATCACACATCTGTTTCTCGTTTGTGTTGTTTCTTTCTGTGTGTTTGTAGTTCAGTGATATTTTGGAACTTGGAATAAGAAAAAATAGTTGCAAGATTATATTTAAAGAAATGTTTTGTATTGAAGATGTTTCGTGATTTGGGCGTGTTTGTGAAGTGTGATGCAGATGAGAATGTTGAGTGGCTCAAATAAACTAGAAACAGAAATCAATCTTTTTAGTTGTTTCTCATAATTTCAAAAGGTTTTGTGTGCTATTTTTACGACAGGAGTTCCTTATTTTATTGGTGGATGTATCAAACTATGTGCATGAAATACGTATATCCTTTTGTTACTAAAGATATTCGCTAGTATTAGATAAGGTGGACCTTTATTTATCCCTGTTGGGAAATTCAGGAGTGAAAGTAACAAAGTGAGAATGAAAAACGACAGTACAGATTCACACAAGGTAAAAAAAGTACAAAAATGTAAAAGGAAGTTATATAGTAATTGTTAAAACAAGATATATATATATATATACATACTGTACTGTATATACACGTATTTAAGTGACAAGTCGCATCAAGTTTCTGCTACATTTTCTTTTTAGTTTTTGACACAAAACTTAAGTGCTTAACTAGAAATGCCTGCAGTGTATGAAATATAGCAGTGGCTTAATAAAATCAGATTTTTAAAAATAGAATTTGGGAGGAATATGATTTATGAATGAGTCAATGAGCTGGTAAACAAGCTGTGTCACGCAAGAAGCCATGACTACCCTACTATTTGTCGTGCAAGCCAGAGTAAAATGTGTGCAAAGAGATGCATGTATGTGCACATTATTAGCACGGAGATTGGTGTTTGTAATGTCATGCGTAATCAAAATTAGAGCTTCCATTGAAAACAAACATGATTTGTATTCAAGCACATGGTCTTTGCGCGGTTCTCTTTGTGATTAATAGGTTTGTTATTGTGTTTATCCCAGAAGCAAATTCAGCTGTCACTACAGCAACATAGTTAAAATGCAAAAACAAAATAACAGCAACAAATATTGAAATTGATTACCTAATTCATCCTCTTTCAAAGCAGCAATCACAGTGACATTTTTTAAATCACTTTCTTAAGGGCTGGTCGCAGTTTTTATGGGTCAAAAGCCCACAATAGGCCATTTCCCTGTGTGTGTTATAAATAGTTTACTTAAAAAAAAAGTTTAAATTTCATATCAAAAACTACAAAGTGAAAAAAATGTGGTCCATCCTGACCTGTTCTAAGGATTACTATTACACTTTTATTACTGGTAGTATTTGTGTTATTAGTTGTGGTATTGAGGTTGGTGTTAATAGTAATGGATATAATGTCAGTAAGGCATTTTACACCATACTGACTAAGTGCATGGAAAGTATTCATTTGGCAGTAACCGCCCCCCCCCCCTCCCCAACAGCCCATGTGTGAGAATAGCTGCATCATGTATTATGTGTACATTTAACACACACACACACACACACACACACACACACACACACACACACACACACACACACACACACACACACACACACACACACACACACACACACACACACAACATTAAATAAAAAATGCCTAATTCATTGACTCTGGACGAGCTTCGGCTGTCACATGGAGCAACAAACCCCCAGCCCGTCCCCATGGACCACCCAACACAGAGGCCAAGACAAGACGTGACAGACGCTGAGCCATGATGGCATTTTCTGCTTCAGAAACCGTGTCAGCAGCTGATTTCTGTTCAGTCCTCTCTGTGCCATGTGGGACTCTCTTCCACAGCACTCGTGTGGCTCTATCCTGCAGAAACTGGGGCTGCATTGACTCTAACAAGGCTGGTGTTGGTGATGAGGTGACATGCCTGCAAGCAATCAGATTGAGTCAGTCAGCAAACATCAGAAGCCTCGTTTTTCCTTTTGGCTGATATTTCTAAAGCAGCAACATAAAGCTGGTGCAAGGGCAGGCTTTGCTTTTGGCGCTGTCATTTATCACACATTAGCAGGTCCGCTGAGTGTGATGAGAAACAGGCCGGAGTGTGCTGAACATTTACTTTAAACAGGGATTAAGTAAACAACAACAATGACTGTGTTCTTTGTGGCCTACAATGAAATCCACATTCAGTACAGACTCTTTGTTTATACATATGTCCTAATTAAAAAAACAGATATTTAATATATCCTGAAATTATTTATCAGTATGCATCTGTATCTTGATTTCATTTGCCCAGCAGATGGCGTGCCCTCAGTGGAGCAGCATGTCAGTGTTAAAGTCAAAGCAAAGGGAGAGGGCAGTAGAGGACTGTGCTATAGCTTCTGATAAATATTATGAAGCACAGGCAACAAAACAGAATAAAGTGATAGACTTACTCATCAAATGATATCCACCATTACACACAACCAAGGCAGCGCTTTTCTGTGCTGTTACTATATTTCCCATTAAACTGCTACAGCACTGAGGAAACAACAGTTTTTCTTATTTATACAATATTATTTTACTGTAAATTAAGTCATAAATGTAAAGTGTATAATCGCTATTGACTCTCTAGATTAGTTTACAATATACTACAGCATTTCTTGTTAAGCCCATTTATTAGAAATACATTGCTAACATTTACATTTCATTGTTTTTTGATTGTTTAGGTGCATGGCTTGTTCTGTACTGTACATTTAGTTTTTTTTAACAGAGTTAGGCTAGAAATAAAACCAAATCTCCATTAAATGGTTTTTACTACTCAATAACTAAGTTACGTTAAGACCCTTGAGGCAATTTCACTTTTTAGGGAATGAACAATTTTTTTTAGGGGGTTTCAGAGTTGGGGGTTAGGGTGTAAGTGTGTTGGTTTTGTTGTAGTGAGTAATCTTAATGTCCTCACACAGCCCCACCTTCACGTGTCTCTCCATCTTTACAGAATGTGTTACTTAAAGCTGTTAAAATAATTAATTAAGCATTTCTCCCATAATTTTGGCAATGGCTAATTCTCCTTCTATTTTGCATTTAGGTTGCGCTGTAAAAGAACACATGTGTTCATTATTATATTTGGATTTAAACAAGGTTAAACATTTTTACCTTGGTCTATGAATGGTACAATACATTTTGCCAGTTTGAAAGAGTTAGTCTACATTATTATGTCAAGTGTTGTATTGTATATTATAGGGACATTGTTGCAGTTTTCCTGTCAGGTAGAGGATCCTAAGAACATACTGAAACCACTAACAAGGGCCTTACTTTTTACAAAAGACAGTGAAGAATCATGATGTGTCATTGTTGTACCTCAGACAAACACAATTCTTGACTAATGTATTGTGTCTGAGATGGTGATGCTGTTATTCATTTCATTTGTAGAGCTACAAAATATACATAATTACTCAATGTCATCTAAAGTTAACAAATCACAGACTTTATTACGTGATTCATACAAACCGAAAACCTTTACTTACAATCCTCTGATGCAACTGCAATATAAGATGTTGGCCTTACACTAAAAGGATTTCATTTCAAAGTGCTGGAAATCCGTCAACGCTCATAACTCATATCTATTGATCTTCATTTATCATTTTATTAACATATATAGCACTTTTTCTAAGATATGATCACTTTATAACATCTTGGTGTTTTATTTCCATCTGTGAAAGATTATGTTTTTTAGAATCAGAGACTTTCTGGATGACTTTATGATTTATGGAGCACATTACACATAACAATCCTGCTGTTTTGTCTGGGAGATAAGAGACATTGTTTCTGGCACCACAGCAACCTAAAGTATAGAATAGTATGACTACACTCAATCGTATCTCAATACATTCATAAACTTCAACTAAAAGAGTTGTTTTTAATGCAAATAAAGAAACATTTGTATTTGTTATTCCCCTTGACACATAACTCATAGACAGAAAATGATGGAGTCCGAAGGTATGAGACATGTCATTCATTTGAAGGTTTCCATAGGGGGGGGGGGCTCCTCTTTCCCGGTACACCAGTGTATGTTGTGCATGTGTGGGATATTCAGACCACAAAGGCTTTACTCATGACATGTTTGTTCCTGCTCAACAAATGTTTCTGGGTGGATACTGATGACTCAAACTACACCTGGTACTGTAGATGCTTATTTAAGAGATTCAAAAATAAAAGACTCAAATATATGTACAGTACAGTTATCTGAGCTACCGTTCATAGAGACTATACATATGACCAATATTATTCTTTCAACTCCTGAGTTGATTGTATTTTTTCCAGGAGTATGAAATAACACTTGCAACATGTGTTCCACTAAAGTGATTCTCCTTTGTTTGCTGAGGAAGACTTGAGATTATAAATCCTCTGCTAACTTTGCAAATTTAAGACAGATTTATTTCAAGCAGTTTTACAAATATGGTTGTCACCAAGTGCCTCACGGAAAAACCAACGGCACAAACAGAGATATAAACAAGGATCAACAAAACAATGTGCTTGTAATTATGTACTTGCTGGCTGTCACAATAAAGGAGGCGGCCCAAATGTGGGAACTCCTGAGACCAGTGCAATTTCTTTTGAGGCGCGTCCTGGAATTGGGCTCGAGTATTTCCAATGTTCAATGTGTTCGCACGACTTTTCATTTCAAGCCTAAGCAAGTGAACTACACTGGTGACCTCAAAACTGTTAAAGGAAGTTAAATGTTACTATTCACCCTATCTGATTTCCTCAAATGAGGTCAGGCCAGACATGAACAAGCCTCTGCCCTGGATTCTGTTCCCAAAGTTTTGGCAGCTTTGTACACACAGGTGCGTTTTTTGGATTCATTCACATTCATGTAAAACCTGAGCCGACTATATTTGTTGTTGATTTGAGGTTCTCAGGGACAAAAGTGAATCGTGGAGGGATAAAAACAAAAGCCAGCTATGGGACACTTCTCAGTGGAACAGAAGAAGTTCATCAGAAACGTGACCAGCATCAGTCTTTGTACATTACTGAACAGCTCGGTGCACCCTACAGTGTCACTCCTTTCTCAGTTGGAATGAGTCAATCCGCCATCTTAAAAGGGGGTCAGTTGAGCATGTGTGAATGCTTTCAAACAACATACGATCCCCTCGCAGCAACTTAAGACACCCCAGAGAAACATAAACCTCCTCATATCTGCAGATCGTCTATTCTAGTCTTGTTGTTGCTGTGTTTGGCACTGCGGCCGGGCCTGGCCTGCGTAGGTGACCCGGGGGCCGATCCTGCTCCCTTCTTTGCTT